GTGGGTCGGAAGCTGAAGAAAGAGAACGGGAGCGTTTGTATCTCTGACTATGGAGAAGAGGGGTGACTGACGCTATCGTTTGAATGCATTGGTGCTGTCGTGTGTGTTCTGCGTCTTTAAAATTTCGTGTTTCTCTTCTCTCCCTTCGCTTTCCTCTCTCTTCGCTCTTGTCTGTGGTTGGATGCCTTGTACTATGTTCTGTCATTTTTGCTTTCTTCCGAACGTGGACAACACAGCGCGCAGCGTGCCAACGCGTCATCTAATGTGACCGCCACGCGGGCAGCTTTCGTCTCCGGCCGTGCGCTCCGTCAGGTCAAGGCTGCTGCAGTGTCGACTGGGAGTTTCAAGGTCTCTGCGTCTGCGGAGGACAGGCCCCTCTGGTTCCCTGGCAGCACCCCCCCTGCTTGGCTAGATGGAAGGTTTGTTTTTCTAACCCCCCCCCCCCCCCCCCCGCTACCTCTTTCCCTCTCACCCTCCGACCACTCTAAGGGTCTTTTTTGACATGCCTTCAAGTTGTGTTGGCCTGTTGAGTGCTGCCATTCGTCGAGCTCCAAGAAATTTATTATTATTATTATTATTATTATTATTATTATTATTATTATTATTTATTTATTTATTATTATTATTATTATTATTATTATTATTATTATTATTATTGTTGTTGTTGTTGTTGTTGTTATTACAGTATTATTATTATATTGTAAATGTCGGATGACTCGGATCGATTGCATGCAGATTCACGGATGAACATTAGCTTTTCTTTCTCTTGTCGCTTAAATTAACGATGAATCTGACGAGGGAGAGAAAGGGAAGGGAAGGGGAAGGGAAGGGAACGGAATGGAACGGAACGGAACGGAACGGAACGGAACGGGACGGAAGGTAAGGGAAGGAATGGAATGGAACGGAAGGGAAGGGAAGGGAAGGGAAGGGAAGGGAACGGAAGCAGAAAGCAAGCAAACGGCATCATGATGGGAGATCACACCAAAAACAGAGGGGTGTGAGAGAGAGAGAGAGAGAGAGAGAGAGAGAGAGA